GAATCTCTATAGATCGAGTTCCAAGACAGGCTCCAAAGCTATAGAGAAACAAAACAAAACAAAAAAAGAACCTGTGCCACCTCATGATAAAATTGAAGAGGGGTGGCCCAGGGTTATTAGAAAACCAACCTTATGCTATGGAGAAGTTAAATGTAATCCTATAGAAATACTAGATTTGAGGAAATTTAAAGAAGATGTTGTTTCATCTGGTAAGCATTCACCCTATGTGAAGTGGATATTAAATTCATGGGCAACTCAGAACAGAATTATCCCTCAAGACTGGAAAGATTTGGCATCAGTAACATTTGAAGCTGGTCCTCAGTTACAATGGCATTTATGGTGGAGGGAAGAAGCTAGGGCTGTAGAAGAACAAAACAGGGCTAGAGGTATTAATATTTCCCAAATCAACTGCTGGCTGAGGCCAGTATGCTGAATTGCAAAGGCAATTTGAATTTGATGACAACACCTTGCTGCTATGTCGGTTTGCAGCCTGAAATGCTTTGGACAAGGTTAAATAACCAGAAATGAGTTCTGAGTCATTAAGTAAAACCATACAAGGCCCAAAAGCAGCCTAAACTGAGTTTTTGCCAAGATTGACTTCAGCTATAAATAGAATAGCATCAGATCCAGAAGTCAGACTTTGGCTTTTGAAAAAGCTAATTTTGCATGCAAAAAGGTGATCAGGCCTCTAAAGGCAAGCATGGCACCAATAGTTGAATGGATTAGAAATACTGTTGATAATGGCTCTCACTCTTATGATGTAACTTTCGTAGGAGAGGTAATCTCTAAAGGTTTTAAGGTGACAAACTGTCAGATGTCTTGGCTGTGGCAAGCAAGGTCATTTCAAAATGGAATGTAGGCAAGGTGTTCCTAGAAACAATGTTTTTTTTTTTTCTCTTCTAGAGATAATTCAAAAAGTATGCAGATGTGGCAAAGGCTGACATTAGACTACTGAATGCAGATGAACAAGGGAAATTTTCTCTTTTTGCATATTACAACATAAAGCATATTACAGGTATACCACACAATCCTACAGAGCAAACAGAGAAAGATCTAATCATACTTTAAAAGTCATGCTTATTAAACAAAGTGGTAACAGAGACTTCCAGAGACAGATTACATAGTTCTTTGTTAAGTTTAAAATTTAATTGCTAATGAACAAAAACCAACAACTGCTGAGATACACTGGATTGGGGGGGGGGAGAAAATTAATTATTTATTTATTCTTTTGGTTTTTCTAGACAAGTTTTCCCTGTTTAACAGCCCTGTCTGTCCTGGAACTTGCTCTGTAGACCAGGCTGGCCTCGAACTCACAGGGGTACTCCACCACCACCCGGCCAGGAGGGTCTTACCTAGATACCTCTATCTGTGCCTGGGTATCTTGCTAATTTTCATTAACAAGTCTTTCTAAGGCTTGTATCTTATCATTCAACATTTCATGTTTGGCACGATTATCACACCACTTTTTATATTTGGCACAAAAAACACGTTAGCTATTAAGGATAAAATACAAATAACCAGACTGATGGTTACAGTCGGCATTATGTCAATCCCAGCTAAGTTGCTTAACCCCTCATTTATTGCTTCCGTTTTCAAGTCATCCTTAGTAGCGCTACACAGGGTCTTAACTCCCTGCATTGCGAAATTTCCCATCCTTAACGTGGGAAAGATTGTTCTTTCTAATATTAACTTTCTCCTTTAAGGACTTCGCCGGTGGCTCACCAAATCTAATGACTTCTCAGTTTGTCCACCGCTGGTGTGACTTCTCTGCCGTGTGGTGTGTCATGCAATCGAGCACCAAATGTTGTTTTAGGTACAGCAGTTGCACCTGAATCTACTGCCGTGTCAGCTACTGCCAAGGCTCCAGTCACCGCCCGCTGCTCAGGCCGAGGCCCGGCAGGACTCTGTGTCTCGCCAGAACCACCTCTGCCGCTGCGGCCGAATGTAGTTTTTAACTAAATCTCTATCCTTCTGTTTTACCAATAAAGATTCGGGAGTCAGATGCTGGGATGAAAACCTGCTAGCAGAACTTCCTCCTTAGCTGCCGACCAAGTAAAACCAACTCTTGCGTAGTCCCAAATTGAAAAAGACCAACACACTCAAGCCTACTCCCTACTACTTCCTGAGTGTTTCTCCATCCGTTTCCTGACTCCCTCTAACTCCCTATGACTACTTCCTGTCAGCTAGTTGCTGGCTCTACCTCTTGACCTAAGGTTTTATTTAACGCAAATTCGGTGTTCAAATGTGATCAGATAGCCCACGACAAATACTTATTCTCCGGGCCTGTTCTTTTCTAGTGAAGGGTGCTGTTGCCCCTTCATTTCAGTCCGACCCCTACTGTATTAACCCTAAAGGAGCTCCGGCTGAGGCCAAAGAGGCACTCAAGGCACAGCGAGAGAGTCCTTGGATCGGCACACACCGCCACCTTGCATAAATGTCATTTTACTTGTAAGATTGAACTGAACTGAGATCCTTCGCATCATCAGGCTTAAATAAGACTTCGGGTTTCAGAGTACCGGGAAGGCTGGACCTGAGCCGCCCAGCTCCTGACCGTCGCGGCGGAACCTTGATGCTCGCCTACTGCAGGTCGCGGGGGAAGGCACCAAGGGAAGCCCTGGCCTGTGCGTCACCATCTTACTAAAGGAGTGTATGCCCCGCCATCCGTTCTTCCCCACGCTGGGCTGGCAGCTGCCGGGGAGGGGCGGGGCGGGGCGGGGCCCGTCA